GTGGTCGTGGTAGTGGTGGTGGTAGTAGTAGTAGTAGTAGTAGTAATAATAATCATAATAATATTTATGCTAATACTAGTAGAACTAGTAGGACTAGTAGTAAAAGTAATACCAAATAAAAATACAAGTACGGTTAGCAGAACAACAGAAGTAACAACAAACATGATGCAAAAAACAATCATATTCATAATATTCACAATATTAATCATAATAGTATAGCACTCTTAGTCGCCATAACAACGATAGTAACATTCACAGAGTAACATTTGTATCTACGCCAAGTATTGACTATATCTCTCGCAGCTCGCACAGGGGTGTCCAACTCGTATTGCGAATATGCATAGCTATGCAAAACAAGATCGTCATGAGTGGTGCCAAGCATTACAACAACGATACTATGAGCGATAGTAATGTATAGTATAGTCATAAACATACTTATAGCTGTACGTGTAGTTATACAGTTGATACTAGCAGTAGTACTGCTCATAGCAGTCATAATGATAACAACAAGAATCACAACATGATAGCCATGTTGCTGAGCTACTACAAGCTGCGAATCTCTCACATTATAAAAAGCACCATAAAACACGATATCTCAACCCGAACTATCTTATTCTTCACAAGCTCACAGTGGCAGAATATCTTGAAGTAACGGTTGGCCGGAGTCCCTTGTACGAAAGGCACTGGTACCGCGAGATTCCAAGATCTCTTGATCAAGCAGAATATCCTAACTTATCGAGCAAGTGCAACCGTGAGTGAGATTTAGGGTGTATTCCTGTTGAAGAGGCTTTGGTGCCCCTCATCCCAACAAGTGAAAAGACCTCGGCCCAGCATGTCTCAGACCTCAGTGCCAGGAAAAGCCTAGAGGGGTCCATGTATGTCTATCGTATACCCTATGTACCTACTATATAGGGCCTTAGGGGCTCTAGTACCCTATATAGTAGGTACCTGGGGGGGTTAGGGATACATACTCTATACTTCTGCTTTGCAAGGGTTCCTGTAGAATCATCGATGGTTTCAGGCCTTCAGACCGAAATATACAATGGGTCCCCAGGCAAAAGTCCCTAACCAATAACCCTCACAGGCCTGGTTATGGGCGTTGACACTGAGGATTTTCGATGTGTGACCGGTTTGAGGCAGAGGTGCAGCTCGGATGAGTCTTTCGGAACATCAACTGGCTTCACGAGCCTATGCTGTCATGGAGGAAGGCCCCCAAACACATTGCAGCTGCGCCCACACCTCCCTGGTCCTACCTGCATCTATGGGAGTTTCCGAAAATTAGGGGTACCTTATTTTGGGACCCTTATAGTAAGGATCCTACTATTTAGGGTGCTATATTAGGGTCCCCTATTTTCGGAACCCCCCCTATACTTATCTAAACACAGGCTTGTGGCGATACGTCATCTTCGAAGCGCTCATTGACTCAAGATCAGAGTGATGTTTACCTAGGTGACGATGGTCAATATGCTAGCGGTTGCAAGTGCGATATTCCTCATTATCATAACTGTTGTGACTTCTCAGATGTCATCGAAAGGCGCTCTGTCAGTTCTTATATATAGAACGACACAGCACGTCGGGATTGTTTGTGCAAGAAGGAATGTTGATGTTGATGTAAATCTGTGCCACAAAGGGTGTTCTGACATGCAGACGTACATCCGAAAGACACGGTTTCGCCCGGCAAGTCTTTCGCCTTCCCAACATGCGGGCTGGCAGCAAGAGCCTGAATCATGAATCTAATCGGGAAAACACTGTGCTGACCCCTGCACAGGACACAAGTACCAGAGAAACGTTCTGCGGCCTGGTTAGTCCTCGTCACCCGTCTTTCTCCGGGATGATACGATGTCCGTGAAGGCATCTGGGAATTGCTCCACCCTGTTCTTGAAGCTGTTCAGAACATCGAGGTACCTCACATGGTGAATCCTGTTCGGCGGACGGGGAATACCACTTGGAACATCAAAGTTCCAAGTTGCAGAATCCCAAGACGACTCGATCATCAGCTCAGGCTTCTGTGCCACTTGGCCCTGGTTCATCGGCGTCGGCTGTCCCTGGGCATCTTGCGGATGGATGGGGATCCCTGCCGCACATCCCATGGCTCGAAGGACGCCTTCTCGGAAGCCTGCTCCTCGACGCTTCGATGCTTTGGGCCGCAACCTGATGCGAAACAACTCTCTGTCGCGATGCGCCACCCGGATCCTCGACGAAAGCCGTTTCCTTCATCGTAAGTTACGATTGAAAGTTCGTAGTAGTATATAAGTATTAAAAAAGCTTCATTACTTTAACTTGTATGAGCAATCCCTTTCCCCAAGGCTCCATGTACGTATACAGTATATACTTTGGCCCTAAAGTAGTCCCTACTGTAAATAGGTACTTTACTAGGGCCAAAGTACATACTATATTGGTACATGGAGCCTTGGAGGTTGGAATCGGTTCACAGCTCAGACCTCTTCTTCCGAGATTGGAGTTGAAGATGATACAATGATATGGGGGTTTCCGAAAATAGGGACCCTAATATAGTACCCCAAATAATAGGATCCTTATTATAAGGACCCCGAAATAAGGTACCCGTATTTTCGGAAACTCCCATATGTTTAGGGTTTCGGGTTCGGAGCTCAGGTCTAACAAAGGAGCCAAAACATTGGAATACGGCTCGGGGAATATATCGTTTGATGATACTAGCGAACCCTGAGGAATACTACTGGCAACTATCCAGCCTGTATGTTGTGATTTCGAGTCCAGGCTGTTCGGACCTTTGAGGCATGTATTGGTACAGCAGGACGACGCTTTGGGCTTTTATAGGGCTTAGGGTTGAGGATTTAGGGCTTTGATGACAAAGCCTTACTGCTGGAAAGGCCGGGCGTCCGTCATCCGCATGTCATGTATGCTGGCTGCCGCAGCAGGACAAAATCCCTCACCCACCGGAGCACGAACACGGATTTCTCGGAGCCCACCCTAGATAATCAACAATACCAGCAAGCCCCAAGTCCCTAAACCAGACATCAATGGGTTGGCAGAAGGGTCTACCTCAACTTTTGATTGTACTCCTCTGCACTGGTTTATCTGGTACTCTCTCAACTAGGACCCTTGCAATCAAGAGGGAGGCCAACAAACGCACTAAAATGAATCTCAAGGCCTCAGGCTTTGTCGGATTTAACGGCTGGTCCCGCAGACCCCGTAAGCCCAACCATAGAATCCTCCCATAACCCAGTAAGCCCTGTCGTCGACACTGGACCCACAAGCCAAGAAAAAAAAAATAGAGCCTAATATAGGGGCCTTAATAATTAGAATAGGGTTCCTTTAAAAGGGCTACCATAAAGGGTACTATAAAGGTTTATGGGTTTAGGAGCCTTAATAATCAGAATAGGGTTTTGGGGATATTGTACTATAATTAGAATAAGGATACCCCAAAACCCTGTTCTAATTATTAGGGCCCCTACATTATCCTAAACCCCAAGGTCAGTAGCGGACGGTAATCGGAATAGGGTTGGGGGGGATATATAAAAATATGATTACAAGGAAGGGACTCGCAAAATAGCATGTTATAGGTAGTTTTCTAGGCCCCTATATAGCATAACCCTCAATGGCCTTTTGCGAGCTTGTTCGAGAAGGTTTGGGTCTTTCGCAAAGCTGTGTGATGAACAAGAGCCCACCATAGCTGCCGCTGTCTGGTATACGTCCGGTCTCGATTGCCAAATGGCCGACCGGGATGTAGCCCTGCATGGTAGGATCTTTATGACCAGGACTCCAATGACCTATTTCTATTACACATCCACACAATCTAGCCGCTTCAATGACAGACTAGCAGCCAGTGGTCTCAAAATCCCACAGCTTTGATACCGCACGCTGGCGTTGCTGATTCTGATGGTCCACCAACAAGAAGGATGTACTCCTCGGTCGCTGTTCGAACCCTAAACCCTAAACCCTAAACCCTAAACCCTAAACCCTAACCCGTTTGGCACTTGCAGGCTTTTCGGTGCATCAGTCCCTGACACAGAAACCTACTCATGACAGCAGCGCCAGCAATACTGTTGATCATCAACTGTATTGACTTCCTATGGAAAAGCCAAAGGGTCCAAGTTACGGTATAGTATAGGGTTTAGGGTTTAGGGTTTAGGGTCTAGGGTTTAGGGTTTAGGGTATATACTTTGGGGGCCCAAAAACCTCCAAAGTAGCTACCATATTACTACTTGGACCCTTTGGGAAAGGCATGTTGGAGCATGCACATGGAAGACAACAGAAACACAGGCCTTGGGCTCCG